TAGCAGTCAAGAAGCTACACATCCTTAGAAGAATTTGCACTAGAAAACTGACTGTAGCAAGTCATGTGCTACCCCAGGCTCAAAGAGGTGGGGTTCAAGTTTGTAGCAGCCATTTTACTTTATTTCTCCACCAAACAAACACAACAAATGAAACAAAACCAAAGATATGCTGGTCACTTTTCACATCCCGCCTTCATGCCTCTCGTGGCGGTCATCGTCGTTGTCCCCTCTCTGGCGGCTGACGTCCTCCTCCCGCCGTCACTCGCATCCCTCGCCGGTGTTCGGGATTCGCGCACCATCCCCCACCCATCCGCGGAGCTTTGTTCGGGCTCCACCTTCCTTCCAGCTCTTGCGGTCGTCATCAGGGCCCGGGGGACGGGCACATGCCATAGTGATATTGGACATGTGAGATGCAGAGTAAGGTTTTATGGACTGATGAGTCAAAATTGGGACTTGGACTGTATGAAACAGAATGTGTAACTAACTTGACTGAACTGAACTTTAGAGGTGTGTAAAAATGTTATTACAGATTTCTCTGAAAAACTGAAAGCAGGTCTTCTGCAAAGAAAGGGTGGTCACACTAAACATAACATATTATGTTAACAAAAAAAAAATTAAACTTCTACCTAATGGATTTTTTGACTGTAATTAAATAAATGAAGGGCCTCTGACTTTTGCAAAGTACTGTACATCAGACTTAATGTAAAACAAAACCAGCCTGTTTAATTTTAAAGGATTAAGAGAGGTTGGAAAATGCTCATGCAAAAATGAATTAATAGTTCTATTACAGATATGGTTCTCATATTATTATGCATACTCATGCATAGATGTTTTTGGTACATAAACCCACATGAACATCATAACAAGACTTCAGAGAAAACAAGAAAGTGCATGAAAAATGTAGGAAATGGGCACTTTCAGACTTTCAAAAACATTGAGAACTTTTTGGTTTGTTCTCAATGTATGGATATTGTTTTGTGGGCCAACATTATTAAGATGCACAGCTGAATTTTAGGACAGCATTGGGTCCTCCTCGCTAATTTGTTTGAGTTATTCTTGAGGTTTTATAGTGAAAATGTGAATAGCAAATATGGGCAAAATTATCACAACAAAAGAAACCCTTCCACAGCTGGACTAATGATATCCACCCATATGCTTATCATCATCTCCCGACTCTGTACCGCTGAAAACTAAGATGTCATCAGCCGAGTTTTACCGTATGAATTAATTATAGGAAATGATATCAATTATTCTGTTTTGCCTGGTGTTCTCTGCGAGGCTGCGCAGCGAACGTAAACGCTTGTCACTCTCTCCTTCTGTTCAAGGAGCGTCTTTGAATTTATGTCAAAATTATTCTTTCTCTCTCTCAGTGAGAGAGTGCTTTCAAAGAGGAGTACTTCAAGTGAGGCACCCAGTGTAGCCAAATAAAGGCAAAAACTGCAATTAAAATACAGATTTTTTTTTCTCCTTTGCAGGTTTGTAGGAGAGAGAGACCTAAAAAAATGGTGGAAGCAGTCACACAAAGTGATAATAGCTTTATTTGATGTTCATCTTCCTTCAGTTTTTTTCTCCCCTTCCCTATCTATTTTTTAAGCTGAAGTAAATCTTTTTTTCTCTTATACACAATGTGACTTTGTTTCCTCGAGACTTTAGGAGGGAAAAGGTACTGCATGTGCTTTGAAGCTACAGATATGGTTCTGTTATTTTTATTACAGATATGGTTCTCTTATTATTATGCATACTTTTATATGTCATGGTTGACAGTGCTTATAGCGTTAACAAACACTTGCTCAAGCTATGGTGAGCCATATAAAAGTTTGGGTAGTAACGGAATACATGTAATAGCGCTATGTTTTTTTTCTGTAACAGTATTTCTTTACAGTTACATAAAAAAGTTGATAGTAATCAGATTTCAGATACATTATAAAAATAGGGTGATTTCCAGCATTTTGAATGATACATTTATCACATGAACAGTGTAGATTTGAACAGTTTTTAACTTTGGTCAAAGGTGGGGGCTGCCGCCGCAAAGAATTCCTCCTCCACAGCAACAGCGCTTTATTCAGCCTATCTGTAGAAGATTTAGTAAGTATTTATTTTTATTGGCAGAACCAAGATCTTCAGCTTTTCCCAAAGATATCTGAATTTGTCATTTACCTTTTCCTTATCACTGGATTCTACAGCAGCAAACTGATCTGGAAGTAAACTTTTTTGTTGCTGTGTAAATTTCTTCAGATTGACTTTAATTCAAAAGTGAAAACCTTGTTTTCAGTTCCAACCCAGAAATAAACAACAGAAGGTTTTAGAATTGTGAAAACTTTGAAACAAAGAAAAGCTATGACACTTAAAAATATTTGTACTTCTGCACTATTTCAAGGTCACTATTCAAGTTGTGACATTGACCATGTTAAGGCCTTTGTATGAATAGGTCAGCTATTTTCCTTCTGTTGAAACACATGTTCAGATGACTCTCAGGTGGATTTGATCTACTGATCAAACATATGGAGGCCATGCCAGCTTGAGCGCACACTGTCATTAAAGCAGAAGGGGGACATACCAAATGCTAAGAAATTCTGAAATCCATGTAAACATTCCTAGATTCTAAATTTCACTTAAATTGCTGATAATATCATTCGTAATTTGTCTAGAAATTAATGCAAAATACAAGCATTTTCACCAGCTGCCTCAGACTTTTGGACCTTACTGTATGTGTATTGGTTGCACTTAATAGTAAGTAGTAAAACTGGTACATTTTATAGAAGTTTACTCACTGATTCCTGTCAGCTGTGACTGTTAAACTGCCTGTTCTGGGCGGCTTCTTCACAAGCTTTTATAGTTTGAAATTAACCCACTGGCTGGGTTATTATTGTTACACAGTCACAAATCCAGCAGCTGGGCTCACAACCAAGCACTGGGTAAAATAACCCCAACAGGCTCAACCCAGTGTTTGGGTAGAAAAAACAACCTAGCAGTGCCCCTTATTCAGTACTCATGCACACATGTCTAAAACTCATGTAAATTATGCTGTACACATTTCTCATCTCTATATTTGAATAATATTTTTATATCACTCCCATTTGGCAGTTTTGATAAACTTGAGACCATTTGTGAGGCAAAATTTCAGCTGCTTATGCACCCATCTTTTATGTAGTTCTAAATCACAGCTTATTAAAATACCCAATTTTCAAATGGCAGAATACTTTTAGCCGATTCAGGACTGCTTTCGCTTCTCTTGTTCTGGCATAACTGCGTGTGCAGAAGTCGTGCCCTTCAAAGTCTTCAAACTTCTCATGTCTGTCAAGGCCTCAACCTATATTTTCATCAAATGTAGAATAAAAAGCCTTCTTTTAATCCATATGCTGGTCACATTTCCATCAAGACACAGTGCAAAAGAGTGTTAAAACAGTCATCGCCTGCAGATAGAACTAAGAAGACATTCGGCTAATCCTACAGTCATAATGAAGTGAAATATGACTCGGGTGACGATCTCTCCCTTTCTCTCAATCTCTTTTTCTTCCTCTCAGCCAAAAACCCTCACACGAACTCTAACATCCTATAAAGCTCATCATAACACATAGCGTCCGAATGACTGATCAGCTTTCTGACTTTGCTTTCCTTTTTTAATCTCTTCTAATCCTGATGGAGCAGGACTCGGCTTGAACATTAGTAGCCCCTGTCTTCCAATATGCATGAGCGCTGTAGTAGCGGCTGCCCCACTCCTGAGGGACCGAAGCAGGATAAACATGCACTTCCACCACCTTCGGCCTTGTTTTTGCAGTCGTTGTTGTTATTGTTGATGTGGCGCTTGTAAATCATGTTTGCGCAGCCTGGCATGGTTGGGGTCCTTGAACGTCCCAGCGCTATGTGAACTACAAAAATAAATTTTCGTAATTGGGCTTAAAGGGACCTCATCATCAGAAAAAAATCCTTTCTGTTTTGAATAAAATAGCTTGAGGTAGTATGTAAACATTCTTACAGTATTAAACAGTACTGTTCACTCCCCAGTCCATACCAGACACAACTGTTTTTAACTATGCTTATTACATGTACATGGCTTTAGAACTCACTCACTCATTTGTGCAAGGATCCTGAAGTTTCTCCACAAGGGGGCACTGTTAGTATGCAAGTCACTTTGCATGCACCATTTAAAGAACAGAAACAGCTCAATTTCCCTGCTCTCAGTTACTGAGGCCTGTACCCTAGATTGTCTGTAGTAGAGTTATTGGTTTGGAAGACAGGGAAACGATTGAACGTTGTACTGTTCCTGTCTGTCAGGAAACAAATATATCACTGCAGCCTTCCAAAGCATACAGACAGCCAACTGGAGTGGCTTTGTTCTATATATTTTAACCTGAACTTCTTTTTGAACAGCTTGTTTAATTCTGATGGATAATTAGGGGAAATGGTCATGTAACAATGAATTATGGCTGTTTTTGAGACACAAAACCACACATTGTAAGTGGACCTTAGAGCTGAAACAAACATACAAAGATACAAAATCCAGTCAGAATGTAGAGTATGTCCTCTTTAACTGTAATGCAGTCGTCAAGATCAAAAAGATAATGGCAATCTGAAGGCGACCCGTTGTTTTTGTGTGTGGTTTTTCTTTGACATCCAAACACACACTTCTCCACAGGCTGGAACCTTTCTCAGGACACAGGCAGCGATAAGGACTTCACCAGGGGAACCATTTGAGTGTGAAGCTGGTGGTTGTGCTAGGAGGGTCACTTGGGGAAGGCTTTGGGCAGGACACATATGCCAGCCGGTGTTCTAATGGGCTCTGATTTTGACACAGCGCAGTGGGACTCCTCCACGCTGTCTCATCGGATAATGATCCTCACACTTTTTCTCTCCTTCTCTCTCCCTGGTTCCTTTGTGCTTACTTTACTTAAAGAGATCCTGGAGAAGATTCTGTACTTGTGTCTTTTTAAAGAGCTGACACAAGACTCTTCTCATATGTCTTCTTCTTCTATCTCTCTCTTTCTCTCTCTCTTTTTCAGAGCTTTTTCGAGGGACAGTCAGCACCATGGGACTCTGCCAAGAAAGATGAGAACCGGATGAAGAATCGCTATGGAAACATAATTGCATGTGTGTATGAAAGAGCGCAGCTCCGGCCAGTGGCCGCACCCACTTGTCCTCCGTACCGTCGCATTCGTTCTTCTCATATCAGCCAGGCATGCGCTGATGCATTCATTTCAGTCATATCAGAAAGTCCTCAGTTAGGCCCGAACAACACGCAAGCGTTTATCTATCAGCATCAGTGAGGGAACTGCTTATCTATAACTGCATGCCTTTTGCTAGGACTTTTCATCTATCCACAAGGCATGCTGCTAACAAAATGAGATTTATACATATAAATATATACATGGAAGTGCATGATGAAATATTTTACAACAGGTTTTATTTAAAAAAAAAAAAAAATTATTTTAATTTTCCTCGCTTTTTTCAAATAGACGAGTTTGATGTAGAAAGTAAACATTGTTACAGTTCATTCACTACATATATGTAAACTGAGCTGGAAAAAACAGCTTGTTTTGAATTTTGTTTTTGTGATGTCGCCGAAAACAACTTATTTACATGTCTTCACCTATTCGGTCTAGAGCTATTTAGCCCCACCCATTCATGCTGAAGTCAAGAAGTGTTTCAGCATAGACTGCTTTGAAATGTGGCACAATGAAACATCAGAGGTCAAAGTCTGTCTTGAAGGCACAGTAACAAAAACAGCCTGTTTGATTCTAAGGGATAAAGAGAGGGTGGAAATGGTCATGTAAAAATTAATTATGTTACTGATACACAAACATAGAGGAAATAAATAAAATACAAGAAAAAATACATCATATGGGCCCTTTAAAGCTAGGTAACAAGGTAAGCTACAATCTCTGGAAGTTACTATATATGTCTGTCTCTCTCTCTCTTTGTTTCTTGATCACCTACTCTCTCTCTTCCTCACCTCTTCTTTTTCTGTCTTTATTGCATGCATTTTCTTTCTTTCTAATTCTGTTTATTCTTTTTCTTTCTTCATATCTTTTTCATTTTTTGTCTCTCACTTTCTCATCGTCTCTTTTCTTTCTCTCTTATTTACCTGCTCTTTCATTCTCTCTTTCTCTCATTCTCTCTCTCCCTCTCTTGCTCTCTCTCTCTCATTGTCCTCTCTCTGTTAACATCTCTCTCACTGTTCCTCCATTTTTCTAACTCTCCTCTCCCTCCCTCCATTTCTTCTTTTTTATCTTTCTATTTCTCTTTCTCTCTTTATTACATGCATTCATACTCTTTTTTGTTATCTTTTGTCTCTTTCTATCCCTAACTAAATGGACCAATGTATTGGGATACCTATGCATTACATCTATAGGTGCTATTATGACATCCCATGCTAAATCCATAGGCATTAATATGGAGTTGCCCCCCACTTTGCAGCTCTAACAGCTTCCAGTCTTCTGGGAAGGCTTACTACAAGATTACCCAACCCTTGGCTTTATGGACCTTGCTTTGTGCACTGGGGCTCAGTCATGCTGGAACAGAAAAGGGCCTTCCCCAAACTGTTCCCACAAAGTTGGAAGAGTACAATTGTTCAAAATGTCTTAGTATGATAAAACGTCTTAGCATTAAGATTTCCCTTCACTGGAACTAAGGGTTCTAGGCCTACCCCTGAAAAACAACCCCATAGCATTATCCCTCCTCCACCAAACTTTACAGTTGGCACAATGCAGTCAGGCAGGTAATGTTCTCCTGGCACTAACCAAACCCAGACTTGTCTGTGAGACTGCCAGATAGAGAAGCGTGATTCGTCACTCCACAGAATATGTTTCCACTGCTCCAGAGTTCAGTGGCAGCGTGCTTTACACCACTTCATCCTAGCTTGGCATTGTACTTGCATGCAGCTGCTTGGCCATGGAAACCCATGCCATGAAGCTCCCGGCGCACAGTTTTTGTGCTGATGTTAAGAGGTGTGTCCCAATACTTTTGTCCATAAAGTACATATAAACATGTGTATGTGTGTATAATATACACATATATAGGAAAATAGAGGAAGGGAGAGAGACAGAGAATGAGAACATGTCAATTTAGCTGTTTATCTATCTATCTATCTATATATGTAGTCTCATTCTCTCTATCCCTTTCTCTCTCATTCTCTTCTCTGCCTTGTCTTTCTCTCTATATTTGTCTCATTCTCTTCTCTCTCTCTTTGTCTCGTGTGGTCCTCTCTCATTTTCTCTCTGTCTCTCTCTCTGTCTCTCTCTGTTCTTGCTGGTGTGTAATGTGTCTTGTTTCTGGTTGTGTGGTTTTTTTAGATGATCACTCTCGTGTGCGTCTCCAGAGCCTGGAGGGAGAACAGAGCTCCGATTACATTAATGCAAATTACGTTGATGTGAGTACAGACAGCAGCCAGCGCCTTCCCACAAAGGTCACGGCACACGCACACACACACGCACATGCCACACACTGAGCACAACACACGCACACACACACGCACATGCCACGCACTGAGCACAACATACACGCGCAACACCAACAATATTCCTGTTGCACAGCAAAGAGAACTAGGGCAAAGGGGGACACCGGTGCACACTCACTTACTCATACACACACAGTCACACACAAACAGCACTCTCAGCTCACACACAGGAAATAGGACAGAAGCAGGTACCAGTGCATACAGGCACACACACACACAAACTCACATACACACACACAAATATGCGCATGCAGATTCAGCAGATGTAGCGCAGTACGGCACATGAAAGTGGCAGTGGCGGATAGAGTAGCACAATCTCAGCAGGGCACACCACCGAAACAGACACACCACAGGAAGCGACAGGATCAGAGAGACAGTGACAGAGCTGCTATAGAGCTAAACACATGCTAAACACACTTCAACTGAGAGAAACACTACCACACACACACCCACATGTTTAGTACTCACATGTGCCTGCATGTACTTTAACTTAATAAAGCTCAGGCTTATTATTCATTTATTCATTTATTCATTTCTAGACTAATTATTCAGGAACTACTATGAAACTAAGTTGTAAACCTCAAACATAAAATTCTTTGGATTGTTCTTTCAGTTTGATTGAGTGAAAAACACTCAAAATATATTCATTAGTTATACTGAAGTAAATTTATTAAGTGTTTTCAGCAGTGTCCTCTTTTTAAGTTTGTGGAACTGGTAGCTTTTCATTTACTGGAGTCTTATCGACAATTTTAAATAAAAAAGAGCTGTCGATGATAGATTTACTGACACTAGAGTAGAACTTGCATTTTGAACACTGTTATGTCCCAGCATTCTTTGCAGTTTTGACAAGACTGAAGTTGACTTCTTATTTTGCATAATCTAACTCATATTTTTCACTCCACCTTAAATTCGCAGCAGGGACACACTGGTGCCTGGCTTCTTGTTTGACAGCTTCTTATTGGAATTTCCATTCTACTTTAAATGCTGCAGCAGTTACATTCTGGTATCAGTCTTCTTATTTGCCAGCTTCTAACTTAAACTTTCTTTTTCACTATAAATGGTGCAGCAGTTGCATTATGGCTCTTACCTTCTTATTTTAATGTTCAGTTCCACCTTAAATGGTGCAACAGTTACAGTCTGTTATCTTCATGCCAAAGGTTAGGTTTGCATTTTACAGGGGTTTATTATTTTAGCCATGAAGTTTTGTGTTCAGGTTAACCAGTTTAGCTAATTTAAAGATATTTGTTTGTGTCCATCTTCTAATTCAACTTGCACAAATACACAAAACAAAGGGGCCTCCCCAGAAATGGAGGGTTCCGATCATTATTTAGTGTTCTTTGACAACGATGTTTGATAGCAATATTCTATCTTCAGCCGAGTGTTTGCAGTGAAGTACAGAAGTCAATGTAGCTTAATTGTTTATTGCTATGTTTCTAATCATTTCTGACATATATCTTTTGAGTTAGTGGTGGTGGTTAGTGGTTATTTTATTATGTAGTCACTCGCCAAATATTGACAAAGTCACTTGTGATTTTTTTGTTTGCAATTACTTTCAAGATTTAATCACATCCGCTTATACAGAGGGAAGGGAATAAATATTTTGAGTTGCATCAGCTGAAGTACAAACTTTTGATTCCATGACCTTAAAAATATTAAGGCAGCTGATTGCCTCTGAACAGGGCTGAGAGTAGACAGGCAGACAGTTTAGCAGCATAAATTAGAGAGCCAGCAATGACAGTGGAGAAATGGAGGTTGAAATGGATGAATAAAATGATGCAGGATAAAAGAATTCAGCAGTGTGACTGAAGAAAGTGGACAGATGGACTATTCAAAAGCCTGGTCCTCTGGTGTTTAACCCCTTAAACTCTAGTCTTTTTATCCACTTATTAAGATTATGGCTTATTATTTGTAGCTACTGTGAATGTGTAACTACTGCAAATGATCAATTATAGGCTATTAAAAAAGATACCAGTTAATGATAAAAAGCCCTTTGGCTCATTACATGATGACAAGATTGCGCTCCCTGTAAAAATAATGTGCTGACACAGCTTGTATAATCTCCATAGAAAAGTTTTTTTTTAAAGGAATGGGGTGCTCTGGAGCAGCAGCACAACAGTACATTCACAATAGCAGACAGTGATGCGGTGAAGCAGCAGTCTAATTGATTGGCTCAAACAGAATCCTCAGACCAATCTGAGATACGGCTGTCAGAGGTTCCCAGCCTCTGCTCTCTGAAATTTTTGTTCCTACCGGCATTTCGTTCCTATACCTAATAGTATCGCTCAAAAATGGAAGAGAAACTTATAAACTTGATAAAATAACAGTTGTTCATATTTTTAAAACCGCAATACATGTAGTACATACTACATACTGGCAGAAACTGGACAGTGTACACGCCCACTCACAACTATAAGAGTGACCTCAAACAGACAAGAGGCAAAGTTGAGGTGACATTAGCGACTTGTCACCTCTCAAGGGTGAACGTACATTAAGGTCACACTCAAAAAAAATTAAATATTAAATTTCATTAAAAATATTAAGTAGCTTTTGAGATTTAGAGTTAGTTATAGGAACTCCTATTAAACCACTAATTTTTACTTAATATGTTTATGTCCGGCTAATGACATAAAAATGTCCAGTTTATGTCAAGGTTTCTTTCTCTTGATCTTAGAGAGTTTTTCCTTGCAAACTTTCACACTCAGCTTTGTCACTGGGGCTTGGATCAGTATGTTCTGTAAAGCTGCTGTGTGACAATATCTGCTGTAAAAAGTGATATATAAATACATTTTTACTTTATTTTTATGACTATTTGTTTAAACTTACATATTTATTTAGATCTCCATATATAATATAACTAGCTGTCTTAGAAACATGCTCAACAGCAAGGAATATATCTTCGCTGTCTGAAAATCTTGTATCTCCTTTTTTGTTGATTTTCCATTTTTTTTTACTTAATTTGAAAATGCCATTTAGCCTGTGTCAAAATTAATTGACAAACAGATTAATGAAATTGTCCAGAAGTACTTAAAATGAAATCTTATTAACTTACATTAAAAGGTAACAATGTTTTTCCTATAACTTTTTTTGAAGATATGAGGTTTGACTGTATGGTAACTGTAATAACCACCAGCAGCAACGCTAGGTGATTAACCAAGGAGTATAAGAAGGAAGAATCTACAAAAGAAAGTAGTCAAGAGGGAAAGACAACGCAAAGAGGGCGAGTTAAACAATACGCAAATTAGGCCAATAGGAAAGATGCTGAGTTGTACTTAACAGAGTTGCTTTGACCAAACAAATCTGACAACTCACTGTTTTATTCAGTTACATGCATTTGTTCAGTAACTTCAACTGATTAAAACCAACAACAGCGCAATTTAATTTTTTTTGAGTGCATGATTCACAAAGCCAAGTCATTTAGAGGGATATAATGGCCCTCAACATTGGGCGTTGTAGCAGAGAAACTGTGTTCTCTCGAGTGATAGAGCCCCATACAGTACCTTTGTGATGAATTGGAGAGACATTTGATCCAGAGCTAATCATCCATCCATCAGTACCTGACCTCCCTAGTACTCTTGTGCCTGAATGCAATCAAATCCTCACAGCAATGTTCTGAAATTTGGTGAAGCCTTTCCAGAAGCTGTTACTGCAGCAAAGAGGGGACAAACCCTCTATTAATACCCGTAATTTCAGAAGACACGCTGGATGAGCCGCTAGTCCGCCAGTTAGTCCATCTTCATCTACCTCAGTGATGTCTCTCCAGTCAGACTGATGAAACTGACGGTGAAACTGATGGAGAGGTATTTTCGAGTTTTTTGTAAAACTTGAAAATGCCTCTCTATCCGCCTCTAATGCGGCCATTTGTTAAGTCTGGTTATTAGAATGCGTTAACCTACCTTGACAATCGCGAATGCATAATGCAAGGTGGGCCACTTTGTAAATGCAAGAACTTCAATTATTTACGACTTCTCTCTCCCTCACTCCTGCCCCTTATTCTTTCTCTCCCTCTGTCTTTCTGCACTCTTTCTGTCAGTCAGTTTATTACTCTTTATGTTGGGGTAGTTCTTAAGTGAAGTCCTTCACAAAGCCCAGGCCCATTATTAGATAAGAATAAATGCATATTAAAGGGAGTTGTGATTGAAAAGGCTTTGCTGGCTTTGCCGGCTGCCTCATTGGCGAGGTACTTAGCCATGCCGCTCAGCCGAGCGGTGAATAGATGAAGCTTTTTCCTCTTCCTCTCCTCCTTCTCTTTCACCTTAGTCAGAAAGAGAGGCTTTTAACCTGCCTCTCGCAGCTCCTCCCGACTAATAAACTTTATCGATGGCACGTTGCTGCTACATTTAGACCTCTTTTTAACATTCGTATGCATTTTTTTGTCCTCAAAGTGTGTTATAAAGGGAGATGTGTGGGTGTGTGTGTATTGGGGGGTGGGGATGGGGTGATGGAGGATTGTTGGTAGCTGAATGCTTTTTGCTGGAACCAGTCATTGTCGTAGTTTGTCATTTACATTCACTTACATAGACAGTCTGAAGTCCACATAATGACCACTTAGGATTTCTGATGGCTCAGAAATGCACCTTTGTCAGTGAGGGGAGGAGGGAGAGACGGAGAAGAGAGAGAGAAAGAGACAGAAGAGCACTTGTTCAGCCCTCGCTGTAGCTGTTGTGTTAATCCGACAGTGTTTCAAGCAACAGTGAACATGCAAAAGAACAAACAAGTCGGCGCTTAGCGGTGTCTGATAAAGAAGCCATTAAAACAGGAGACAGTCCTCAGAGCACGGCCAAGTGAGGGCGAGAGAGAGAGAGAGAGAGAGAGAGAGAGAGAGAGAGAGAGAGATGGAGGGAGGGAGAGAGGGGAAAATGAGAGAAGAACGAAAAGGGAAAAGGGAGAAAGAGAGGGAGAGAAGGAGAGATAGGAAGAGAGAAAGAGAGGAGGAGACAAATGAGAAAGAGAGAGCCAGGGAGAGAGCAGAGAGGAAGGTAAGGAGAGACAAGGGTTGGGAGCAAGGGAGAGAGAGAAAGTTTCAGAAAAAGAGATCAAGAGAAACGAGAGAGGTGAGAGAGGATGACAGTGGAGAAAGAGGGGGCAAAAGAGTGAGACAGGGAGAGAGAAGAGGGGAAGAAAAGTAAACAGAAAGGGAGAGAGAAGAGGATGAGAGAGTGAGACAAAAAGATAGATGGAGAGAAAACGTGAGGGAAAGAGAGAAGAGAGGGGGCAGGGAAAGGAGAAAGAGAGGCCAAGAGAAACAGAAAGAGAAAGGTAGAAAGAGAAAAGAAAAGAGACAGATGGAGAGAGAGTGTAAAAGTAGGAGACAAGGAGAGGGAAGGAGGGGAGAAAGAGAAACAGAAAGGGAGAGGGAGAAGAGAAGGCTCAAGAGAGGACAAGGGACACAGGAAGAGAGGGGGTAGAGAAAGAAAAGAAAGAGGGGGAAGGAAAAAAAAAGGGATAGAGAAAAAGACAGAGAAACAGAAGGGTGACAGGAAAGGGAGAGAGGGAGCAATACAGAGAGAACGAGATAAAGGAACAAGAAAGAGAGATTTCTTGGCGTTTGTGGCTCTGCTTGTGTCTCTCTCTGGGGAGGTGTTAATCAGAGTGGTATTAAATTGAATATGTGAGAGATAAAAAGAATGGTAAAGCTCATCAGTCTATCCTTCTATCTGCTGTACACATACCTTCTTTCCTTTCTCAGGGTTTTCTTTTCTCCCCACAACTACTCCTATCTCAGGAGAGGACAAACACACACTCACGCACATGCACACAGAAGCATGCACGCACTCGCAAAACAATATAACTACTGATAATCCTTTCGATATGACTCTTCTCTCGGGGATTAGCCACTAATCCTCTCAAGTTTTATTTGTCCAGTGTGATGTATTCCATCCGTGTGTGCGTTTGACGTCTCCAGGGGAAAGTCCTTAGTAAACAGAACGGGGCCGCAGTGCTAATGACTTGTTGACAAATTGCTGACTTTTTACGCCTTTGTTTACTTATTTATTTTTTTATCTCCGTTATTTATGACCTGTCATCACAAGGGCCCCAGCGGAGCCCTAGGCCATATGTGTTTGACTGCTCTGTGTGTGTGTTTGAGTGTTTGTGTGTGCTGTAACCCTCATTAGTCAGTCTGCCAGTGGAGTTACTATATTTATGCCATTTAAGAGCAGGTCAGAGGTCACAGATGTGTCGACAGATTTGCTTAAGAGATTGCTCTAAAATGAATGAGAGCTATCTGTTATTCATCACAGCGCTATGAAAAACAAATGACACTGTAGATCCAAGCTTCTCAGTCATGCCATTATGTGATATATGTCTTTATGTCACATTTTAAAGGAATTCTGTGTTCATTCTTATTCACAGGGCTACCACAGGCCAAACCACTACATCGCTACACAAGGTAAGAAATTCTTAGTTTGAGTTTGTTTTCACATATTTTCAGGACAAAATTAAATGCAGAGAAAAACAGGGTTACTGTTACTGTGGCTACAGTTAGGTTTAGGGAACATGTTGTATTTACTTATAGTAAATTGTATATCCATTTTTTGATAGATAGATAGAGAGATAGATAGACAGACAGACAGACCACTTTATTAATCCCAGAGTGAAAGTTTTCTATTACAGTAGCAAAGTACAATAAAGAGCACTACAAAAGCAAAAGAATTGTCATCGCTATTATACAGATGCATAAATAGAAGAAGTAAAGATATATAATAAAATATATTAAAACAACCATAAATTATAATGTGCAGTATGAGAATAAGTAAAATCGCATAAATATCAGGCAGTGGTGCATTTCACGTCCAGTGGATCAACCGAGTGACTATACACTGTACACAGTATGTTCATAATCATGCAGATGTTTTATTCAGGTGTGTTTGATTTTTTTTGTGTTTTGTTGCATAAAATGAAAGCTCTGGTTGCCCTTTGACTGTTTTTGAGCTTTGTATATTCAGGTACTGACATACAGATATAGGACGTTATATATTTTGCACAATTCTAGTAACAAGAGTCTAGTTGCCCTTTCAGTCATGTTAACATTTCTTGATGAACAGACCAATAGAAATGGTCCAAACTCACTTTGATACAGTCAATTACAAGTTTCTCCTTCTCCTGTAAAGTTACCATTTTGGGCATACAAAGTTTTGTTCTGACAGTGATGTGATTATAATACGTATGACACAAGATTATACACACACACACACAAGCACGCAAGTGCGAGTTGCTTTATTTCAAAACAACAAAACCAACAAAAAAAGAATAACAAAAAAAGAAACAAATCCATGAAATTACAAAAACAGAAACTAAGGAACAGACAGAAAATGCAAGACAAAAACCAAACACAGGGGTATAAATACACAGAGAGAAAACAAGCAAGACCTGGCAAAAGAGAGGGCGGAGCTACAGGCTACAGACAGATGAACACAATTACAAGGGGGCAGGACCAGGGAGGAGACCAAACCAAAATAACTACAAAAAACACATGGGAAAATGTAAACAAAAAGCACATGGCTAAACAGGGAAGACAGAGGCTAAACCGGACAAGATGTTACAAGGGCATTGGGTCACTGGCTTGTCAGTACTGTATAACTGTTAACAAACACAGTATAATTACAAAACCTCTGTGATTGGATTCAATCACAGACATTTCACAAACATGAAAGTTTAACCCAAGTTGGTGTGGCCATACCATTGTATGACCATACATTCCGAACAACGTTGGCATGTGTGTGTGCATTCATGATCATATACAGAAATAACTATGATACATGTTTGTGTTTACACTAATATAATAGAATTTGTAATACCCAGTGCAGCATATTAAATTGCATGGCTGTGTGTGTGGGTGTGTGTGGTTGTGCGAATCCTAAGCGATTAATCAGGCCTGGCTATAAGCCGAGGCGAGCAGAGTGGAATAATAAATAAAGGGATTAAAGCTTGTGCGTTTGTCACTCGGCTAATCTGGCCTGTGGAGAGCGAGTGCTCCGGCGAGGGCTGATGACCTCACAGGTTAAGTCTGATGGATGCTTAATTGTTCCGAGCTGTAAGCAGGACCACTGTGTGCATGTTTTTGTGTGTGTGTGTGTGTGTGTGTGTGTGTGTCTGTGTTTGTGTCTGGAATACGGCGGGTTCTCTAATGGCTTCCCAATCTGCCGATGAGGAGAGGGGAGTTGCATAATTACCTGTTTATTAGAGCATTGCATGCCTCATTCCTCCGTGTCTCAATTAAAACACACACTCAGCCCAGTCTAGCGGAGCGGCAGGCATACCAAACACACACACACGCTAGGCCTGGTGCAGCGGCTAGCATACCAAACACACACTCGTCAGCATCTCAGTCTAGCATGTGCAACTCACACACCCTCACGAGAACATCTCAGAGTAGCGGCAGACATACCCTAAACACACACACACTCGGAGTCAGAGTGTTACGATGTGCATATTAATGCATTACTTTCAATATGGGTGTAGATACGATATGCACTGTCAACCAAATACGGTACGGCGTAAAAATTAGAGACCACCCCTCATTTCTTTCATTTCCGTTTGAAACAGCCATTAAGTACAAGTAATTCATTTGTCAGGAGATATGTCTGAGGAGATTAGAAGGACATAAAGGGAAAGTCAGAGGAAAGTAAGTGAAAAAAAAAAACAGAAGTTTTCAAAAGTAGCGTTACAGAGAAAATGGGACTCCTGACAATCACCTGCAACACCTGGTATGCCAACAAAACTGTCACCATCACATGACCAGTACTCAAAGCTTTCATCTTTAAAACATTGGAGAAAATCAAGCTCTGCTGTTGCTTCAGATCTGAAAAAATCCACAGGTGTTTCTGACCAGCCTTCCACTGTGAGATGACAGCTCAACACTATGAGTCTGAAAGGATGTATAGCTGTCAAGAAGCCCTTACTGAGAAGAGATAATAGACAAAAAAATTAATTTGCACTAGAACTGGATATCTAAGATGTGGAATGATGTTTTGTGAAATGATGAGTCTAAATTTTAGATTAGAATGTTTTTGGATTGTGAGAAACCGAAAATACATCCAACTTCTAAGACTGAACTTGGACAATTGTTTGGTGTGGTCAAATATCCCTGCACTGTGAACTTAAATTAGTTGACTTTACTTTAAAGAATTATGCAAACTTATTGCCTTGTAAAAATAAGCTACTCAACAGGTCCAAGCTTAAATAACTTTATTTAGGACTGATAGTTACTTTCTGATTTGCAATGATCCATACTTCTGCAGGAAGTGAGGTTAACACAAACAGCCCAGTGATTTTAAATGGCTTCCATTGAGCTAACAGTACTCTGCTGTTTCAAGTTCTGCTTACTCTTGAATTAGTCAAGTTAACTTAAATGAAATACTCTTCCGTGTATAATGTATTGACATCAGTTAAAACATTTTTTATTGAATTGACTGCTTTGTAGTAATGAATACATGGCTAAGGTAAGACTAGAATCACCCATTTCTGAGGACTCTAATAGCTTAATGCACATTTGCCGTTCTGTTAGCATTCATTGTGAAAGGCTGAACTGGTAAACTGACTGACGAAAACATGTAAAATGCATGCAGACTTCACATTTAACTTGAGAGTATGGTATGTCACAAAATAACACTTTACAAAGAGAATTATGATTATAGCTTAGAAAATAAGAGTTAGTTAACGGAAAACAACAAAACGGCTAAAAATGGTGGAAAGTTTTTGGGCAAAAGACTCTTCAGTTTGTAGGACCTCCACATTAACTGATCTTAACTAGATATACCTCAGTAGCTAAGGATTAAACAAGAAATAGTAAGTGTTACTAGATTTGTATTAGTAACTTTAACACATTAGTAAAGTAAACCAAAATAAAAAACTGAAAGAAAGTCTCTTAACAAAAGAGTAGAAGTGTAACGATGGCACACGGAACCAGACGCTTGCAGACGGGGCTTGAGTTAAGAACTTGAATACCAAAGGGTTTGATCTAAAATCATAGTTGAAAAACAGAAGCAAAAAGGCAAAAACGAGAAATCCAAAAATGAGCCAAGGGGCAAGACAAAACTAAGGTCATAAGCGATATACAGGTCATACACAAAAAGGAGAAAACAGACATCAAAAGAACGCTGGTATGCTCAACTGGGAGACGATACTTCGCAATGAAGCATTACAAATAAGCAGACTACATACACAGGAAAACAGGTGTGTGAGATTACAAGTCCAGTGATAGGTGGATCAGTTGGAGTCCTTAGTCATGTGACGAAACAAGGGGTTCTGGGAACTGTAGTATAAGGCGGCCGCGTTGGCTGTAGTTTCAGCTGGGCCGGAGGGAGGCATGACAGGAAGCTGTAAGTAAGGCAAGAGGTGGACACAGCAAATATCGAACAATTTAATGTTGTGTTGTTGAGGATTCTGTGTTGTGTTCTGTTAATATATATGTTCTATATTCTGTTTTCTTTTTCATGATGCTAAAAAAATAATATTTTGTGCTTAATGGTCATTTTGACTGAAAATTAAATAAATGAAGGGTGGTATCTGAGTTTTTCAAAATATGACACATGTATAGAAAATACTTGGATGTTTGACAGACATATTGACATAAATTGGAAGGGTTTCCATGGTTCTTTTAAAACACAAATCTATGATATTCCTAAAAGAGACAGCCATGAAAGTAAGCTACTTGTTTGCATTGCATTACACTTTCACCAGACAAAAAAAATCTTTTGTACGTCTTTGTCAAAAATGTTTGATATCTTATGGGGCAAACACTGCAGTACCTATCATATTGTAAAGTCTGTGCATCGTTACCCTAACTCAGACATACATTGAGCAAGGCTATCCTTCCCAATGCTCGTCTCTGCAGGATAACTCAGCCATGTCTCTCAGAGCGCTTTATAGGTTTGTCTCTTGCCTTCTGTGGTTTTGAATATCAGTTGTGTCTCTGTAACTGATTTGTACATCTTTCTCTGTGGCTTGTGTAGCCACCTGCCTCATGAATAAATTCATGCTGTCTGCTGTACTGTATCTCACCCATGTGTAAACTCCCCGAGTGTTCCCTTCCCCATCATTTCCCTCACACTGACACTCGCCTCTACCACAACTCCTGTCTCTCTCTCTCTAGCCCCTCTCTCTTCTCTCTCTAGTTTACTCCTTCACTCTCTCTGTCTCACGTTACCTCTTACTAACTGATACTTTTGATGTGCTAATTAATACAAACCAACAAAACTTTAAGAATTCTGAGTTCTGGGAAGACCCAGAGACACTACATTCATATCACTGAAGGCCTTGTGAGCTTCTGCATTTTCAATTTAAGAAATTTGATGGTTGAGAACTGACAACCATATTTAACAATTATTCAATATCAGTCATTAAAGCACAAGTAAACTAAAACTACTGACGTTTAATTCCCGACCACAC